AAACAATTTTTTTTTCTATAGGTAGGCACTATTATTATTTCTCTTATGATGACTAATGGTTAATCATTGCAAAGGTAAATTCTAACTGAAGATTTTATAAACCACTGCTTATATGTTTATTTAAAAAAAAAACTATAAGATCATTAAAGGCAGTTGATTTTTGTCTCCACAGTGAATATCACTGTGCAAATAAGGGGCTGGTCATTTTTTGATAAGAAAATAAATGGATCTTGACATTTTTTAAGGCATCAGTAGGAATTGCTAAATGAGAGAGCAAAAAGTCATCTAAAATGAAACTGTATTCACAAGGTTAGATTACTGATTAAATGGGGTGATGAAAAAAACCAAGAACAAAAATCTGTTTTCTCCAAATGAAGGCTCCAGAGTCCATAAGAAAGCATGATCTTATTAATTCAAATGAAGTCCCTTTTAGGCAGAAATAATTTCAATTGAAAATGTTCAGAAATGTTTTATTTAACTGCCTCCAGTAGAGTTCTTTTGATCAAAACCTGAAGTGCCTGAAGTCCTCAGCAGTTATTTTGGCTATCCTGGTGCCACAGAGGTCACACGGTAACATTGTAGACCCCCATCATATACTCCTGTCTCTTGCCATAAACATCTCACTTGTAGTGGAAGAAGGTAATTAAAATATTTCTACAGTGAGGATATAGGTGCTTAGAGAAGAGGTCTGAGGTACACAAATGAAGGATTTATAAACTAAATTTGTCTACTGTGCTGCAGCAAAAGAGACAGCATCTCCAGTTTACAATCGTGTTTTTCATTTAGACGTGTTATGCATGATCAGAAACAGCAACAGCTATTTCCTTTGTACAAGCCCTATCACTTATAAATCATGACACTACCATAGCTGCATTAATTTGAAGGATTCAATATATAACAGTATCACAAAACTGCTTAAGTTTTTTCTGATACCCCAAAGAAACAGAAGAAAACAAACTAGTATTTTCTGTATTTTCATATAAAAATTATATGGTGATGCAGAAGGGGGAACGCATATTTAGACAGCAATTCATTTTAAAAGCTATCATAATTGAAAAGTGATAATTGACGAACAAAGGATGAAAAGATGCATAAGAAAAGCTGACATCTTGAATTAAGTGAAATACATTGTAAAATGAATAAAACAACATTTAAAATACTTTTATTTGAAGAACATTAATTTGGAAGAAATGTTTTATGTTATACAAGTGGTACTGCCAGTCATCAACCCGTCATCTCTCCTTCCCCTCATTCATTTAATCATTCATACCAGGAGGACTTACTTCAGGCTTGCTTTATGTTCCGCCTGCCTGAATAAACCCAGCCATCATTTCTAGTTTTTAATCATTTCTGTTTTTCTGAAAATATTATCCACTGCACCATTCTTTCAAAAATTTCATCATAGGGCATTGTGTTGTTATAATACACTGTCCTAAGAGATTCTCCAGTATTTAATATATCCTGTATTTCCTCAACTAAGAAAAACTGATCACTTTTCAACATTATTTGAATAAACAAAAACATATTAAATTGTACAATTTTTATTTTGAACTTTTACACATATGTTCCTAATGAAGATTAAGCTGAATTATCATTTGTTGCATTAATTGGATTGACCTTTGATCATGTAGTTATTCAAGATTATTAAGTAAAATGGAAAACATTTTACTTTTTTAGTCTGTCCCCTTTAATTGTGTATAATAATATGATGTGATAGTTAGTACTGTCAACTTGATTGGATTTAAGGCTGTCAAGTATTGGTCTTGGGTGTGCCTGTGAGGATGTTATCAAAAAAGATTAACATTTGAGTCAGTGGGCTGGGAAAGGCAGTCCCACCCTTAATCTGGGTGGGCATCATGTAATCAGCTGCCAGGTGGGCTAGAATATAAAGCAGACAGAGCAAGGTGGAAGGATCTGACTTGCTGAGTCGTCTGGACTTCATCTTGTTCCTACGCTGGATGCATCATGCCCTCGAACCTCGGACTCCAGGTTCTTCAGTTTTGGACATGAACTGACTCTCCTTGCACCTTAGCTTGAAGACGGCCTATTGTGGGACCTTGTGTTCATGTAAGTAAATACTTAGGAAACTCCCCTTCACGTATATATCCATCCTATTAGCTCTGTCCCTCTAGAGAACCCTGACTAACAAATCTGATTTGATATATATGTAAAGATTTCAGCTCCAGCCTCTAGAGGTCTTAGGCCCTGATGATACTTCTAACGTTACTATTTCACTTTCAGATTTTTTCCCATAGATAATGGCCTCCATTCATTGCCTAGGAAAGTTTACATTTTCTTAAATGGTTTTCCATTTTATCTATATTTTAATAACATTTATATAAAATATTACTATTCATTGTTATTTTTGAAATCTACAAACTTGTGTTTATGTTGTCAATCTGCTTTTTTTTTTTTTTTTTTTTTTTTTTTTTTTTTTTTTTTTTTTTTTTTTTTTTTTTTTTNTTTACAGGGTTTCAATCTGACACTCAGGCTGAGTGCAGTGGCGCAATCTGGGCTCACTGTAACCTCTCCCTCTGAGACTAAAACTACCCTTGATTTTCCTAAGTAGCTGAGACCACAGGCACATGTCACCATGCCCCCCTAATTTTTTTGCATTTTTGGTAGAGACGGAGTTTCACCATGTTTCCAAGGGTGGTCTTGAACTCCTGGACTTAGGCAAACCATGCGCCTTGGCCTCTGAAAGTGCTAGGATTACAGGCATGAGCCACCACACCCAGCTGCAGTGTACACTTTTATGTTTCAGATTTCTCTTTTTTATTGGAGAAAAATGTTTAAATATTATGCTTTTATACTCATTATACTTATTATTAATTTGTTCTTGCTATTCAGTTTCCTATAATTATTTCATAATTATTATTTTATCGGTGTGTACTGAATCTTCTGGGATTATTTAACTGTTTTTCTGCTTAGAACTATCTTATTTCAAATAGGAGTATAGTGGATTTCAGTCTAATTCTTTTTCTCTTCATTTTATAAATTTACTTTATAGAGCTCAACAATTAAAAAATATATAAGTACATACTTATATACAAAATCCATACATACATTAATAGTGTCCACATATATATGGTGTGTTTTGTGAAAATACAAAAGAAAATAGTTTATACAACCCTAGGAAATAGAAAACAAGGAAAGACTTGCTTTACCAGATATCAAGACATATTTTAACATTACAAAAAATTAAAACAATGTGATATTGATTTGAAGAGAAACAAAAACACCATAATAATTAAAGAGTCCAGAAATGGATATATGTATAATATATCCATATATAAATAAATCAAAAGGATGGCATTTCAAAACAGGGAAAATTACACTTTGTGTAAATAGATCATATTTTGACAGCTAGCTAGGTATAGGGAGAAAAAAAGAAGGAAACTGAATTTACCTTATCTAATTCATACATATAAATACACACATATATTACTCTAACTATATTGAAAGGCAAGATAAATAAGTTTTTAGAAATAGTATGGAAGAATATATGTGACTTTGGTAGGAAAATATTTTGTAATGAAATATAAACACAAAATACAGAGAAAAAGAATTAGACTATATTATAAATAAGAACTTAGATTTTCCGAATATACAGAGGAATAGAACTGGATTACTTCAAATGTCAACATAGAGTGTTATCAAGAGTCTATAATGAATATCTAAAGTCAATAATAAAATGAAGGCTAACCGTGTATCTAGACCAAAGACTCAAATAGGCACTTCACAAAAAGGGATTGTTAAATATAGACCTTGAAGAATAGAACATTTTTCAATCTGGCCTTCCTGTGACCTTAACCCTCATACTTTTTCCTCACCATTCCACTTGTTAAAGCTAAAATTGCGTACACAATATGTCCAAATTTTTTATAAGGATGGCATTATCCTGATAACAAAGTTAGACAAGGATATTATCAGAAATAGATAGAAAAAATCCCTGATAAACACAGATACAAACATCCTCAACAAAATAATTCAACTGCGCACTGAAAGGATCACGCACCATGACTGAGTGGGGTTTATCCGAGGGATGCAAGGATGGCGTAACAGGAAACCTACAAATGTGAGACATCAAAAAACAGAAAAAAGAAAAACGATTCTCTTCCCAGTCATCATCTCCATAAAGAATCTCTTTTCTCTCATCTCTCAATTCAGTTTTATCCCCACTGTTTATTACAAATGCTAAAAAGTGTGTGGCGTGATAAAGACAAAGTTACTTATTTTTCAGTAGTACAACTTTTTCTTAATTCTTTTATTTTTTGGTTTTTCAATGGGGATTCTGTAAGGGGGAATTTGATCATTGATTTTGTATAACTAGCTTATGCAGAAAACAGTTACTTAGTCATTCAATAAATATTTATCAGGCACCATTATGTGCTGATAAAATAAGTGGAAATGCCTTGAGGAAAATGCTAAATGACTAGAGAACACTTCTAGGCAGCTTTGCATATTCACAACATATTGTACTTACCAGGCTTCCCTGTCCCTTTTTATTTTATCTTCTTCCATGCAGGCAGATGTTCCTTTGGCTCTTATTTTATTTCCCAAATGAAAAATATAAAAGATGTATCTGCTTTTCTACCATGTGATATTCCTGAAGAATATATGTCTTAATAGGGCCCTGGATCATATATCGGAACTGAAACAGCAGCGTGCTTATATATGGGGCGACATTGAATTTTAAAGTCTGGTTGGCCCTCAACCAAAAAAAAAAAAACCAGAAAAGATAGACTTGATACATGCATACTTCTCTGGTGGCAACTGTTATTGGCATGTATACATGGTTTAAGTTGACGGGTTGCACCTTGTTTAAGCAGTTACAAAGAGCGACTTGCCTACAAGATTTTTAAAAAGTCAAGAAAAATATATATAGCTTCAAATATCTAGAAAGAGAATATTATGTATCCTCACATTTTCTCTACCCTTCCCTTGACCCACTATTCTTATTTCTCAAAACTGTAAACAAACATCAGATTCTTTAATAAATTCTTATCTCCAGGGGAGATACCACGATGATGAAGGTGGTTTTCCCAGGGCGAGGCTTATCCATTGCACTCCGCATGTGTTGACCCCTGTGATTTCCCCAAATGTGGGAAACTCGACTGAATAATTGGTGGTAGTGGGGGACTGCATTCACGCTTTCCCCTGGTTTAAATAAAAAAAATACATAAATAAAAAATAAATTATTATCTCCAAAGCCCTCTGCCTCAGGGTTTGCTTTGTGGATGATCCAAGCTACAATTCCCAACATTAGAGCAAGAAAACTAAATTATTCAAATCTAGATGAGTGGGGATTTTCTGAAACAGTTACCTGCTGGAGTCATTATGATGAAATACTGCTTTGGGTATCTAACTCTTAACTTGACTGTTTCCTGAGGTTAATCTCCCCATTCAGATGTACTAAGTTGATTTTATTTAAAGCTTCCTTTTCTTTTATATTCACTGCAAATATTGAGGTAACTTAATATTCAAAGTTTGAGCAGTGATTTCAACAGATTAGGACAGCTCTGTTATATTTTTAGTGAAGCATATACGAGACACATTAAATAGTGAATGTTGCCTCCCTTCACTAAGAGTTTGTAGCAGCATCTAATAAAGCATATTAAATTATATAAAGTACATTGTTAAATAGTGTCACTTGGGTGCAAATTAATAAGAACACGATTAACACATATAAGTCTGCAAAGTAAAAATATTCCATTGAAGAGTTAACATTTTAATCTTTTAATTCAGAAGATAATCTAATGTGAAAAGAAGCTATGAAAATTCCTAAACATTTTGAGATTAAAGCAGTTTTTCCGGATCAACATAGAGATATTATGCCATAACCATATGTGAAATTAAAACACTTTTAAAACTTTGATGAATTTAACTGAGTGAAGATATTTAAACATGTCATCGATACCCTGAATTTTTATTTGAATTTGTTATTAACGATATGAAATTATAAGATTGATTCTCAGGAAGCCCCATCACCAGGGGAAGGGGAGTAGTATCACACTGAAGGAACACCCCTTTGGACAAAGGGATCTGATTAGCAGCCATTGGGCCCCAGATTTTCCCTCTGAATAGACTACCCAAATGAGAGGGAACCAGGAGAACAATTCTGGTAATATGACAAAACAAGGTTATTCAAAAAGCAAACAAAAACATAATGTGGGGGAAAGGACATCCTATTATACAAATGGTGCTGGGATAATTGGCAAGTCAGATGTAGAAGAAAGAAACTGGATCCTCATTTCTCACAATATAAAATAATCAATTCAAGATGAATCAAAGACTTAAATCTAAGACCTGAAACCATAAGAACTCTAGAAGACAACGTTGGAAAAACCCATCTATACTTTGGCTTAGGCAAGACTTCATGACCAAGAACCCAAAAGCAGTTGCAACAAAAACAAAGATAAGTAGATGGGACTTAATTAAAGTAAAAAGCTTCTGCACAGCAAAAGAAATAATCAGCAGCGTAAACAGACAAGCCACAGAATAGGAAGAAATATTTTCAAAATACGCATCTGACATGGAACTAATATCCAGAACCTACAAGGAACTCAAACAAATTAGCAAGAAAAGAAAACATTTTCTTTAAAAAGGGGGCTAAAGACATAAGTAGACAGTTCTGAAAAGAAGATATACAAATGGCCAACAGCATATGGAAAAATGATCAACTTCACTAATGATCAGGGAAATGTAAACCAAAAACCACAAAGTGATACCACCTTACTCCTGCAAGAACGGCCATAATTAAATATATATATATATATATATATATATATATATACACATATATATACATACACACACATACACACACACATTGGTGGGGATGTGAAAAGGGAACACTTTTACACTGCTGGTGAGGATGTAAACTAGTATAACCACTATGGAGTTATACTAGTGTGGAGATTCCTTAAGGAACTAAAAGTAGATTTACCATTTGAACCAGCAGTTCCATTACTGGATATTTACCCAGAGGAAAAGAAGTCATTATTTGAAAAAGATACTTCCTGGCACCTGTTTATAATGGCACAATTTGCAATTGCAAAAATATGGAACAAGCCCAAATGTCCATCAATCAATGAGTGGATAATGAAAATATGGTATATATATATATATATGTGTGTGTGTGTATATATATATATGTGTGTATATATATATGTGTGTATATATATATGTGTGTGTATATATATATGCATACCAATATATATCACATATAGATATACAAACTGTGAAATACTACTCAGCCATAAAAAGGAATGAAATCATGGTTTCATTGAAAGCAACCTGGATGGAGTTGGAGATCATTATTCTAAGTGAAGTACCTCAGGAATAGAAAACCAAACATTGTATGTTCTCACTTATAAATGGGAGCTAAGCTATGAGGAAGCAAATGCATAAGACTCTGGTGACTTGCGGGGAAGGGCAGGAGGGTAGGTGAGGGATAAAAGAGTACACATTAGGCCAGGTGCTGTGGCTCATGCCTATAATCCCAGCACTTTGGGAAGCTGAGGCGGGTGGATCACGAGGTCAGGAGTTCAAGACAAGCCTGACCAATATAGTGAAACTCCATCTCTACTAAAAATACAGAAATTAGCCAGTCATGGTGGCAGGCGCCTGTAGTCTCAGCTGCTTGGGAGGCTGAGGAAGGAGAATTGCTTGAACCCTGGAGGCAGAGATTGCAGCGAGCTGAGATCATGCCACTGCTCTCCAGCCTGGGAGACACAGCAAGCCTCTGTCTGAAAAAAAAAAAGACTACACATTGGGTACAGTGTACACTGCTCAGGTGATAAGCACACCAGAAAATGGCCACTAAAGAACTTATTCATGTAACCAAACACCACCCGTTCCCTCAAAAACTATTGAAATAAAAATAATTTCATAATATATTAAGCTGTTGTCTCTTTTCACATAAAATGTTTTCATTCAATCTCAGACCTTAAGTGTCAATTTTTGCTAAAACATATATAGGAATTTAAGAATAATATTTTTAAGTGTACTGTTAATTCTTCTCATTATCAAAAAATTTAATTTATTGAAGACACATTTTATACATATTCCTAAATAAAAACAATATTCCTTTTTCTCTTTTAAGGTGGAGTTTTGCTCTTAGTGTCCAGGCTGGAGTACAGTGGCGCAATCTTGGTTCACGGCAACCTCTGCCTCCTGGGTTCAAGCGATTCTCCTGTTTCCGCCTCCCCAGTAGCTGGGATTACAGGCATACATCACAATGCCCAGCTAATTTTGTATTTTTGATAGAGATGGAATTTCTCCATATTGGTCAGGCTGGTCTCAAACTCCTGACCTCAGGTGGTCCGCCCACCTTGGCCTCCCAAAGTGCTGAGATTACAGGCGTGAGCCACCCCAGCTGGCCAACAATATTTATTTTTATCAAACGTTGATGATCTCTAAATTCCAGGTCTCAAGCCATTTGCTTACCTGTCCTGGTTGATTTTATATTCTATAATAGTCTACAGATTTCAAATTGCATCTCTAAACTTATGTATCCTGAACACGTTTCTATCCACCCCCCTTAAACACACACACATTCATTCATTCACATATAGTAGGTTATTTGATTTTCCATCAGACTGTATTATATATATCCCAATAATCATCCTTAAGGTATATTATGTTGCTTTTTACAAACCAAAGAATCCTTCAGTAATGTTCTATAACAGTCTATAGCATAACCTAAAACAATCCTAGACTTCTCTGTGAAGCAGGCAGCTTTAACAGTTTCATAGCAACTTCCTTATACATTATACCAGGCTAATTTTTTTTTTTTTTTTTCAAGTTAGAGTCTCGCTCTGTTGCTCAAGCTGGAATGTAGTGGTGCAGTCTCTGCTCACTGCAACCTCCACCTCCCGGGTTTAAGTGATTCTCTTGCCTCAGCCTCCCAAGTAGCTGGGACTACCTGCACACGCCACCATGCACGGCTAATTTTTTGGATTTCAGTAGAGACGGGGTTTCACCGTTTTACCCAGGCTAGTCTCAAACTCCTGAGCTCAGGCAATCCTCTCTCCTCGGCCTCCCAAAGTGCTGGGATTACTGAGTCACTACGCCCAGCCAACACTAGGCTAATTCTAATACATTGTTTAATCTCACTTCACATGTGCCCTCTGCCAGGAAGCAATTCTTGACTTTTCTCACTCTCCTCACACTGAGTGAAGTGCACTTTTTCTGGCTTCCATGATATTTTTCCTTTAAGTCTACTACAATGTTTAACATATTGTATTTTGGCTTTAAATTTTACAAAAGCAGTTGCTTTGAGTATCAACATACTCCCTTGAAATACTGAAGAAATGTTTCCCTTCTCTTGTGTTAAAATATATACTAAATGCATTCATCCACATGGCAAATTTATCAATTAAAAATAAATGGTCCTGACTCTATAGGACCTTGTAACAGAAAAACCACATATTTGAGTGGATGGTCCATAGATGGTTATAGCTGCTAAATAAATAGGCATTGCATTATGAATTATAATGTAAATTTGCAATTTACACTATATAAAAGTGTACCTGCGTGTGTATGTATGCAGTTGCTGTGCTGTATCTTTGACAAGGGTAATGAAAAAACTCACCAAGTGTTAAAATTTACCATTGACATGAATTGTACCAGGTAGATAATCTAATCTACTGATCTCTAATTGATTTTGATGAAATAAGATTTAATTTAAAATATTTAAGGTCAGCCTTTAAATGTATTGTGCTCTAGTTATGTTTTATTGAAAAAGACAGGGAAATTGTTTGATTTTCCAGAAACATCACGTAGAACGTCAACTTTAATTTCTTTTGTTTTCATTAGGTTAATCAGTTTTAAAGCATGTAGTTAATCACATGCTTATTTCATGATTGCACTTTTAAAGGGCACATTTCTAAAATTCCACATCATTAAATGATTTATTTTCCAGAGTATCTTCCATTCTTGTAACATTGGCTGGAGTTATTCTGCTTAAGGTTGAACATCCTTATATCATGTCTTTGAGGTCAATTTTTCAAAATATTTGGAACCCTTCAGAAATGTAATGTGGATATTTTAGATTCCAAATGTAATATCAGTAATTGTTTTATTGTAAGATAAGCCTAAATGCTGCATTCCATAAGCAATAGAGATTAGTTAGCATAAAAACAGTAATCAATTTAGCA